AACTAGAGTGGATTGGGATTCATTTTTAAAGTAGTATATTGTAATAAAGTATTGAAGATAAAATAGACAGTTCTAATTTGACTTGGTCCAATTTAAAATCTTGTATTCTGCCTTCATCATTTAGTTCAGGAGCTCTGTTTCAAATCCCTTTGGAACTTGTTTTTAGAAAGATCATTCTTCTTTGTAGGGAAAAGACAGAGAGTATAAATTCAAAGACCAAGCGCTCTCTGAGAAGAATCACCCTGTGATCAGATGATAATCAGTTGTCCTTATCAATGTCTTGAGTAAACACAAGGAGATTCTTCCGAGAGAATCCTTACTTTGACCATTTATTTAATTCACAGTTTTTTAATCTCTTATCCACTGAAGACATTTTGTTGCTGTTCTGGATATGTAGCTGGCTTAAGAATGATATTTTCTTTCAATTTTCTTCACCTACTGTACAATGCCTCAGGGAAGGGCTTTCCAAACATTTTCCTTCACTGTTCCAAACCGCTTATCCTTTCCACCCAATGTGGGTAAAACACTTTAAGTCAACGTAAATGTCATTGTGTTGTGTTCTGATATGTAATGAGTTTGGGTAGCATTATCCAAAGGAAAACATTTTACCCAATTTTGGGTAATTTATCCAAATTTTGAGAAGCACTGCCTTAGAGTCTGCTCCATCACATTGTGAGAGGAACATTGTTAGTTGCTGCCACTTTTTTCCTTTGTACAAAAGCCCCATGAAGCTGTATGGCATTTATCAGATATTCCTTACACTGGGGATCAATTTTCTATCTCAAAACACAAAAGGTATTTATGTATTGTTACATGTCTAATCTATTGGACTTGACAAACTCTGTAAAATACATTTTTAAGATATGTAGCTCAAAAGCCTGAGTTATTCTTATGATATTTGGTATCTTTCCTGTTTGCAAAGTTTGAATACTTCTGCAAATTCCAAACCTTTCTGTTAGAAAGGGAGGGAGGGAGGAAGGAAGGAAGGAAGGAGGGAGGGAGGGATGAGTATAGTTATTTATTGTTTATTTTTGCATGCTAGATAATGGGAAAATGGAATATCGTTTTTTTTCTTATTCATTGACCAGATTTAGGATGAGTTGGAATGAATATATGGACTAATATTCTGGGCCAAGGATATAGTGAAAATGGTTTGGGAAATCTTCCTGCAATTGTGTTTATGACAGTTGCTTGATAATTTATAATATTTGGAACTGTTGTCTCTCTGAAGGACAGTTTTAGATACTCTTAGCATCTCTTGAATCCTACTAGAGCTTCAGTGGTGGGTTTCTACCAGTTCGCCGTGGCAGGAGGCTCTGCCCATCCGCCCGGATGTCATCATGGATGCTCTGTGCGCTCCCAGTTCTGAACAGGTAGCGAAGGTAAGTGGAACCCACTACTGTAGAGCTTGCAAAAATCTAAAAATCATGTCGGTGATACCCTCAGGACATTTTCCTTCAGAAAAAAGGAGCTATGTTTTTATAAACCACTGACATTGTTATATATTAATTCAGCCCATTTCTTGACAGTTCTAGGTAACTGAATATAAATTCCATTCCACCTATAGTATTACCATTTGCAATGGAAGCTGTATTCCCATCACCTCCATTTTTCTTATTTCTTTTGAAGTTTGAATTATTTAACAGAGTTTATAGAGGCAAGCAGAGTGAATTATTTTTAAAAAGGGGGCCCGGTTACTTATCTCTAGCTTGTTAAAAAAACAAACAAATGGATTATCGAACAAATCAATCCAGACTTTTTTACTTGAGACACAAATGATTGCTCAAATTATCAAAGAATGAGCTCTCTGGAGAATGCTAATGTTGGGAAAGGTGTAAGGAACGAAAAGAAGATGACCAATAGCAAGTGGTCAAGAATGAATAACCATTCTAATTTCTTTCATTTGTTTTAGTTTATCTATAATTTTATTATCTCTGTTATTGCAAATCCAATGGCCTCCTGAAGTAATAGCACATACAGATAAAAAGCAACCAATATATTTATATATTAGCTTACCACAAATTTATCAGTTACTTTAATAGGTGTTAGGTTGAGCTATGAAATTTCCCGGTTTATTTCCATATTAAAATCCTAGTAGGTATGTTTTTTTTAAAAAAATCACAGAAGAACACACGGGCAAATTACTTCACTATCATCCCTCCAATATTCCTATAAGCTTCCAGGAACTGAGCTCAGTCAAGATACTATCTTTCTTCTATGATTTTCTTGTTCCTATATTTCAATTTTCAATTTCTCCAATGGCATTTTTAAAATCCTAACTTGCACTTGCAGAGCTAAATTGCTCTTTCAAGCATCTCAAGCTATACACCAAATCATTTTCAGACATCTCATGAATGGAGAAGAGGCATTTCCCCATGTTTATTTTTATTAGCTTGGGTTTCTTATTCGGTCAAATCATTGAGTTTTTACCTTTTTAACTTCCTAAACGTATTCTTTGTCTCCATTCCAAAAGAGAGGGCATAATTAGTGGATCATTAAAGCTTTCTTAATTAATTTATTATAGTTGAAAAAAAAAGTTGCAACGTATGGTTTAAATTTCTCTCAGTGCAACATATTTATATAATTTATTTATATAATTTGGGCTGCTCTGAATTGTGAAGTAGCTAATACCAAATTAATTTTTGTATCTAAGTGATTTTCTTAGGTCTTTTTATGATAATTAGTGATAGTTGGCGCTAGTTGGCATAGGTTTTTCAAATATGTTTTACTTGTGGAATGAAATTAAATTCAGTAAAATAAGTGCAAGTTAAATATAATTTCTGTACTGTTTAACTAATGTAAGTTTCACTGAAACCTACTTTCAGTCAGGAAAGCTTATAGTTCTAAAGTTAGCTTTCGATTCCAATGTATTTACTTGGAAGTCAATTCCTATAATCAATTAGAATTAAAGTGGATTCTTCATCATTACTACCAGTTACTAAATCAATACTTTTTGCAGCTTTTATTACAGAAATTATACTCTTCAATAAACGGAATACTTTGGAGGAATATGTGAGTATAAATGCCAAGTATAATTAGTTAAATTATGCTAGGAACATAATAATTTCCAGCCCCATCCTTAAATCCTCATTTGAGTGGCAATCTTGAAAGGTATAAGATATGTAAACATAGAAAAGCAACATAAGGAAATGTGCTTATTAATTGGGGCCTTCAGTTATGCTAGCCTATAATTGCTTAAGATCAAGATAAAGAAAAAAACATTTTATGTAATAAAATGATTGTACCACAGTACAGAGGTCATAAATACACACCAGTTGCCAAGCCTCTGAATTTTGATCATGACCATGGAAATGCTGCAATGATTGTAAGGATGAAAACCAGTCTTCAGTGCTCTTGTACCTTCAAATGGTCACTGAACAAATGGTTATAAGTTGAGGACTACCTGTAATTGAATCCAAAACACTGCAGGGCACATGACACAATCATTATGATAGTGTTTATGTGGAAATTTTTTTTCAAATCTACAATCAGTAGATTTGTATTGAAGGTCTTATTCCATCATAGATAATGTGGGCTAGCAATGGAAAAAGCAAAGGTTTATGGAATACGGAAACAGAGCCAAATATGGTATGGATGTTACTCAGTGGTGGGTTTCAAATTTTTTTACTACCAGTTCTGTGGGTGTGGCTTGGTGGGCATGGCATGGCTTGGTGGGTGTGGCACAGTGGGCATGTCAGGGGAAGGATACTGTAAAATCTCCATTCCCTCCCCAATCCAGGAGAAGATTACTGCAAAATCCCCATTCTTCCCAATTAGCTGGGACTTGGGAGGCAGAGAATAGATGGGGGCGGGGCCAGTCAGGGGTGGTATTTACCGGTTCTCCGAACTACTCAAAATTTCCGCTACCGGTTCTCCAGAACTGGTCAGAACCTGCTGAAACCCACCCCTGATGTTACTCTCTTTTTCCTTTGCCATCCCCTTATTTTTATTTTTTTGTTCTTACCTTCTCCTGCTTTTTCTTCTCTTCGCCTCTACAGAATAACAAACTATTCTTTCTACAAAGCTGAAGAACTGATTGCTCAGAGGAAAAGTTTGGAATTAGTTCAAGGGCAGCAAATTCAAATTGCCAACTTCTGATTTCTCCCAAATGGCAAACCCGAAAACTATTAAGATCAAAGAGATCTGTACAACATAATCAAGGGAATAGTTAAACAACAACCAAGTTTCTCCTCTCTTTCTTTCTTTTAGATGTTGTGCCAATGACCACAGTATCAACTTAGTATTACAACTTTCAGCTCCCACTTTGGTTGGTTCTTCTCTGTGAACATCTACCCTATAGACACCAAAGTGATTTAATTTGATCATGTAATTCTGAGAAATACTGAGGATGTCTAGGAATCAAGTATTCTTGACACTGTTGTAACTAGGAAGATTTTCTGGAATGAAACTGTGTTATAGAGATAATATAAAATGAATATATGTGGGTGTTATACATGTGATCATAAATTCTTAAATCCTACTTTAATATCTAATTAGCATTCATATCATGCTATACCTACCAAGTACAATGCATATGGAGTTCTATAAAAAAGAGAAATATCTGGCTTTCAAAAAGATAGATAGCATATTAAAACAAATCAGAAGTAATAATATAGTAATGGAGAAAAAAACTGGAATCAACAGAAGAATAGTAAAAATGCAGAGCACTGGAATATACTGATGGTAAATGATATTTTCCATACACACATTCTGTTATAACCCTTGACTGCTGAACCATCTGACACAACTTTGTGTTTTCTTTGAGGTAGTGACAAGCTCCCAAATAAAACGGAGATGTGTGGTAACTTACTAGATGTTACCAAAATTTCTCAGGATGAGAGCAAACAATTTACCTTTGGATACTGGAGCAGAAGATAACTATCCTTGAGTCAAAATACACAACCACACAATATGTAGCAGCATGGCACTTGGTAACAGTGGAAATGGGATTATATAGGATCTACAGACCTCCATATACAAATATACAATACAAAAATCGGTCCTTATACAAACTTTTTAATATGTAAAAAAATATGACTTTGCTATCGCCTTTTCATGATTCAGCAAAGCAATACAAAATGTGGGATGAGTTCAATACTTAGCCTCTTTGAGCATTTTATACAAAAATGATCAATACACCTTTTTTTTCAAGTTTTAGCAGTATGATTACAGTATTGCAGTAAGGATATCCAAGTATTTTGCAGATTTTAAAGGAACTTTTAGAAATGATATGGAACTTGACGTTATTTAAGCTGTTTTACACACACCCCCTCTGATATAAATTGAAATGGTTCCTTAACTTAAAAATAGAATGAAATTTCGCTATAATGTCTGTCACTTCTTTCTTCCCTGCTTTTTAGATCTTATATCTCTGTAATAAATCTTTCTAAGTAAAATGGAATTTAAATGATCGAATGCTTTGTATGCTCTCTGTGGCATGGATAAAACAAGGCGTGCAGCACTTCAATTACACATGGGCAGCTATTAAGCATTCCAGGCTCTCTTACCATCAAAGGGGGGAAAAATATGCGAAAAAGAATCTTTTGAAGAAATTAATCCACACCGAGCTTTTGGAGTTGGAATGTCGCTGTAGAGTTTCAAAGAAATGATTTCATACACACGGGTTTAGTATTCTTAAATAGCAGATAAGGAGGAATATGTGCCAAGAATCCATGAACTTATATAAAAATATATAAATAAGCATATTTGATTGGTTAAAAAAAAACCCACTGCAGCTGCATTGATTTCTCTTCACAACACCCTTGGTGAGGTAACTGTTTGAGAACTGAGAATCGCTCGAGATCACAAGAAATGTCATTGCCCAAAACTATATACCTGGACTTAGACTCCATTCTTAGTTGTGCTCCAAAAAGGGGATATAACTTAAATAAATACATGCTGAGAAAATGGAGACCACGTCAGAACACCTGGAGGTGATGGAGGCATTCTGCCATATGGATTGTCTCTGAGTTCAGACCTAGTCAGCCCTCTTATAGAAATCAAGTGCAATCAGGATCTTCTTAGCACATCTCTAAGTGGCTCATTTGCAGTAAATCTGCAGCCATGCAAACTGTACATTTACAAGACTGATTTGTCTGGCTGTTACTGCCCAAAAGGTGGGTGGGTTGCTTTCATAGTAACATTTATCATTGAAATTCAAGTACTAGAGACATTATCCACAGAACCCAAAGCACTGAGCTTGCATAGGATCGTGTTTTCCCCTCGTAGCAGAAGTCCTCTAGCAAATACGCTGTGGCCATATTGAACTTCTAAGGAAAAAAAAAATCCAGTTAAAATGAGAAAGAAGAAGAATCCTCCACAGCTGAGTACACACAGACACACAAACAGCACACAGCAGAATCATCACTTTCTGCGCTATCACCTAAGGAGGATTGTCATATAAATCCAGGGCCTATGTTGTGGAAGTCTGAGACAACCAGCATCAAGACAAAGTCCAATTAGGGTGTGTAAATGTTATCGTATGTTTCTTAGACCATTCGGCAAATACTTTCTTTTCTGTGATGAACCTGTGGCCTCCATAGGGTGCATTTTCATGAAGGAAGTATTCATCGCATTCACTCCTCCCAGGTTCATAGTAGTGATATGGGACTTTCCTAAAGCCTTCTGACCTAGAACAAAGTCAAAACATAAGACATCCATGAAATACTCTTCCTGCCCCCGATGCCATCACAATGGTGAGAGCCTTCTCTTCTGCTGCCCCCCACCCCATGGAATATTTTGTTCTCAGAATGAGATTGACCCATAGTCTTTTGGCTTTCTGGCATTGTGTGAAGACTTGCCTCTGTCAACTGGCTTGGAGATTCAAGACTGGCACGCAACCCGCGTTGTTGATGATTGGTCGCCTGAGGATGTTAAGTCTGCCTTATGACTCTCCTTTTAACCTCGGGTTTTATTCTGTTCTTCACTCTAATTATGTCTCTTTTATATGGCTTTATTGTTTGTATTTGTGAACTGCCCAGAGTCACTTAGATAGGCATTTGATAAATAAACATGCTATACACACATCTATCTATAAGGGTACAAGCAGCTTTTTCTCACCTGTAACACCCACATATTTGTAATAACAATCATCAAAATTCCAGAAAAAATTTGACTTAGAATTCTGGAAGTAACGGGTCAAAACAAATGGGAAGCCCCAGATTAGGGAAGGCTGCTCTATCTATAAAAAGGGCAGATTGGTAGTCCTTGATTTACAACCATTTATTTAGTGACTACTTGAAGTTACAATGGCACTGGGAGAAAAAATGACTTAGGATCATTTTTCACACTTGCGACTGTAACAGGTAAAGTTCTATGGCAGGTGTCAGCAACCTGCAGCTCCAGAGCCGCATGCGGCTCTTTGGGCCCTCTGCTATGGCTCCCTGTTGGGTGATCACACCACTGGCTGGGTCCACCTCTTGCCCTCCTCTCCCAGTCACTCCTCACCTGCCTGAAACGGTAAGGGCGACAGCGGGTGATGGAGAAACAGCTGGGGCAGAGACAGAGAGATACAGACAGAGGGGGAGAGAGACACACATAGAAAAATACAGAGGGAGTCATGTGACTGGTGGAAATGAGTGACATGGAGTTGGCCACGCCCACCCAGGTTTTGTGGCTCCCGGTGTTTTCTTTTCTGTGGGAAACGAGTCCAAATGGCTTTTTGAGTGTTTAAGATTGCAGACCCCTGTTCTATGGCATATTGTAAGGATAGTGGAGAATTATGATGGCTTCATTTTATCATGCAGTATGGCTGCTAATGCACAGATTCTAGCTGAATTACATCTTGTAGTATGACAAAGCAAAGAGAGAAGCCTTTTGTTCTAGTTCCAAACATTGGCCATGATTGTCATCCCTGGGCATGAAAAGATTCTGACTCTGCAACTTCACGACAGAAAAAGCCAACGCCAACAATACTTTTCTTACAGCCTGATTCAAGGCCAGTGTGAAAGCAGCTTTGGGGTATTAGCATGAAGGCTATGTTTTTTTAAAAAATATAAGTCAATTGATATATATTCTGGCTCAGCTGAAGGCTATTTGAAACCACAATAAAGTTAGTCATTTCTTTGAAGGACTATGAGACATAATGGGTGGTCAGTTTCCACACTAGTACAAACTCTGGCCCAATGAACTTCCCAGCTGTTTTTTGTAAGAGGAGAAGTGAGGGAATGCTTTGTTCTTTAAGACCTCCAATAACTGAAGAATTGATAGCCCTTCCCCCCACCCCAGCATTGAGAAGTTGGCAGAAGAGAAGGCTATCTATTATCTTCAAACTGCTTTCATGGAACTGGAGGATAGAAACAGTGACTGTGTAGAAGTGCCTAAATCAGAAGTTAGAAGTATGCCGATTAACATATTTGAACACACAGACACCAAAGCTATCAAAGATGGTAGAAGATCCAGAATATTTTGGTGGGAAATAACTACACTTTGTTACTGTGCTTGAGAACAGTATTATTCTTAATAGCTTTCAAATATTATACCACAGTTATAATATTCTACAGTTATTAGATAGGCAATACTAGTGATGCAGTGGCCTAGAGGTGGAGCTCTCGCCTCACAATCAGGAGGCTGTGAGTTCGATCCTAGCTAGAGGCAGATATTTCTCTCTCTGGGCATATTGAGAATATATCTGCTGAATATTACTCCGCATTGGCGACAGGAAGAGCATCTGGCCAGTAAACACTCAGCTCCATTCAGTTGCCCAGACACCCCCCTCACAAGGGATTATGGGTTTAAAGAAGATGATTATATGGGCAATACTTGACTTATTACCACAATTGGGCCTGAAATCTCAGTTGTTAGGTGAAGCAGTTATTAAGCAAGATGTCACGTGACTGTTTTGATCAATGACTGCAATCCTGGCTCACCCAGACTTTTGGCCTGTTCCCCACCTCTTGCACTATTCTGCAAATGGATGTTATTACCATGATCCTTAAAGCCTCCTTAAAATAGAGCCCAAAGAATTGTGAGACTAGTGCCCATTTACAGAATGGTACAAGATGGCCTCCGTAGGAGGGTTGTGTCTCACATCGGCTGACTGCATCTGTCAAAAGTTGTAGATGAACAGAAAGGTGTTCATCTGTTGGGCCCTGGAGGGCTCTTGTGTATGGCTGGGTGGGGAGCAGGCTGAAGCAGTGCAGGGAACAGCAGCTTCATTTGTCCTAGTAAGCCTTGGAGGCAGTCAAGGGCTCTTATGTTCCCCTCTGCCCCATTTGCTTATGACCAACTCTGCCAGCTACCCGATCTACTTTTTGGGGAAGCCATCAGAGAAGATTGCAAATGGTAATCCCATGATTGTGGGATACTTTGCAACTAATTGTAAATGCTAACAGATTTCCAAGTAACTGAAATGTGATTTTGTGTCCACAAGGGAGGGGCAGTATGACGTTTCAGAACAGCTGGAACTACCTTATGGGCAATAAAAACATCCTTTCTGACATGGTCATAAGTCAACGATTATTTATAATATTGGAACAATGGATGAACCATCAGCACTAGATTTATAGAAAAGAAATATACCCGTAACATCTTAGTTTGATTAAGCTCAGCAAGTTTAATTTATCGTGTTTTTGGACTGTAGGACACACTTCCCCCCCAAAAAAACTGGGTGGAAATGTCTGTGTGTCTTATAGAGTGAATGTTGCTGAAGCTCCGCTCACCCGCCAGCTCCCACCCTTCAGCCTCTGCCTCCCAGCAATTTGCTTCTTTGTAGCAAACAGCCTGGTCACCTTCAGCATAGCCTGATTTAGCACGAGCAGCTGATTGGCGGTTGGATATGTCTCCCGGAATACTATTGATCAGCTGTTCCAGGCTGTGGGGATTGCCATTGCCCATTACCACCGTTGCTGCCCATCGCCGCTGTCACCTATTGCTGCCTCCGCATGCTCCATTTTCGGCCTCCGCACATTCTGTTTTCAGCCTGTTCCAGGTGGTGGCATTAGACAGTGATCCCTGCCACCTGGAACAGGCTGAAAATGGGATGTGCGGAGGCCAAAAATGGGGAGTGCGGAGGTGGCGATAGGTGGCAGCGCCAATGGGCGGCATAGGTGCTGATGGGCAACAGCGATCCCTGCAGCCTGGAACTGTTGATAGGTGGTATTCCGGGAGGTAGATCCAACCGCCAATCAGTTGCTCATGCTAAATCAGGCTGTGCTGAAGCTGACCAGGCTGTTTGCTACAAAGAGGCAAGTTGCTGGGAGGCAGAGACAGAGGCAGATTTTTTTTCTTGTTTTCCTCCTCAAAAGCTAGGTGAGTCTTATACTCAGTAGCGTTTTATAATCTGAAAAATATGGTAATTATTCCATCTAATACCTGATGTGACGATCCAGTATGGATTTCTGAAACAAGGCCATAAACTAATAAAGAGTTTTAAAATTTTGAGATATTCAGGTACTGGTAAATTAGAAGCAAAATTTATACATGAAAAGAAATGAATATTGTCCTTACAAATACTTTTAAAAAAGGCTTCTAAAAGCAGCTTCTACAAAATGATTTTATGTCTGTCCGTCCGTCTATCTATCTATCTATCTATCTATCTATCTATCTATCTATCTATCTATCTATCTATCTATCTCAGAGGTGTCAAACTCGATTTTATTGAGGGCCACATCAGGGTTGTGTTTGACCTCAGGGGGCTGGGGTGGGTGTGACTAGGGTGGGCATGGCCAGCTTGATGTTACTTGTGTTGAGAGCACCTGTGGTGCTCTGCCAGTGAAAATGAGCTCTCGAGCTCTATTTTCGGCTGCGAAGGCCTCCTGCAACCATCTGCCAGTGAAAATGGAGCTCAGGACGACCACTTGCGGCCCTCCTGAGTTCCATTTTCACTGGCAGAGGGACTGTGGGCTGGTCCTTCGCTGTTTCCAAGGCAGCCCTGTGGGCCAGATCTAAGCACTCTGCAGGCCAGATCCGGCCCCCAGGCCTTGAGTTTGACACCCCTGATCTATCTAATCAATATCTCTGAAACATGGCAATAAACAGATAAAGGTTTTATATATTTGGGATATTCAGGTATGTGTGTATGTATACTGTACATCTATTACGTTTAGATTTTATGTATCTATATTTACACAGTTTGTGTGTGTGTGTATGTTTGTGTATGTTTGTGTTTACGCGCACATACACACACACAAAACCTAAAATCTACATTTAGATAAAATCTAAATGCCATAGAATATAGTCTCAAATATATATATAACTATGCCATAATACTTTTAGACTCAAAAAGTAATTAGGAAAGGAAAGCGATGCTGGCTTCAACAGGGAATTATGAAAACATGTTCATTAGGCTACACCAGGCTTATAAGTGAGTTTATAGGTTTTGTTCCTGCATATTAGGGATGGGTGTTTGTGTGTCTGTTTTTATTATTTAAAAAAAGTTCAGCCTTTGGGGAGATCACAAAACAGCTTTTATAAGCTTCATTCTTCAAAATGACAGGAAACAGTGTTGCTATTTTTTGAGGCTTGTAATTGGCAGGGAAGGGAGAGTAGGGGCCAAATTAAGCTGTGGGAGTGCAGCCTCTTAATTCGTGGAACATAAGGAGGCTTTGCAAAGAGGGATAAATAGCAGACACAATATTTTTTGTCTTTTGGCCTTTCCTTAAATTGGATCTCATTTTATGTCCACAAAGCACTGATTTTTGTAGCCAACTCTGAGTTTTTTACTGCTGTAACAGAACTTCTTAATCAGTGGTGGGATTCAAATTGTTTTAGTACCAGTTCTGTGGGCGTGACTTGGTGGGCGTGGCAGGGCTTGGTGGGTGTGGCTTGGTGGGCGTGGCAGGGCTTGGTGGGTGTGGCTTGGTGGGCGTGGCAGGGGAAGGCTACTGTAAAATCTCCATTCTCTCCCCACTGCAGAGGAAGATTACTGCAAAATCCCAATTTCCTCTCGATCAGCTGGGACTCGGGAGGCAGAGATTTGATGGGGGCAGAGCCAGTCAGAGGTGGTATTTACCGGTTCTCCAAACTACTCAAAATTTCTGCTACCGGTTCTCCAGAACTGGTCAGAACCTGCTGAATTCCACCTCTGTTCCTAATGTGTACATGGTTTATATCATAGGTTTCTAATCTGGTAGGAAATAATTCCTACCACTTTATTCAAGTGATGGCACTGTGGAAGATGGGGGAAAGTTTGCTCGAAATCTGCTCAAGAACACATTTGCGCTTCCTAACCTGAACATTCTCAACTGTACAAAAACTGTGGAAAGCAAATATACTTTCCTATTTCCCCAGTTCAGTCCAACTTGGCAGGAAGTTCTTTGATGTTGAAAGGCCTTTCTAACATTGGTCATTGCATTTTTATAAATACTTTTATTTAATCAATACAGCGTATCATACGGGGTCTAAATATACTGTCAATAAAGTGCCATGTCAATATAGTTCTGCTAGGCGTCGGCTGCCTAATGCATTTGTCGGGTTTATGATATTAAAATGAATCGTGAAACTTTGACAGGGCATTAGATCTGTGGACGCATCAAAATAATGTGCTGTGATCTTACTTGCAGTAGGTGTCATTTATCATTCCGTAGACATGTATTCTGTAGCAGGCATCCATCGCTAGAATTAAGGTGAACCAACCAGTGCTGAGATAGGAGCCAGACTGGATTCTGTAGAAGAAATAATACAAAGACGATCACTGAGCAATTCCATATACTTCCTTAAAGACATTATTATTTGTTACGTGAACAAAAACGTTGATAAACTGACAAAAATGTTTAATGATTTTGAATTAGAGCAAGTCCATCATACTGGTGTGTTTGACCTGCAAGGGTCAGCATGAAAAATAAATGCTTCATAAATAAGAATAAGAATATTCTTATTCTTATTGTAGAAATAAGAATAGCTGTTGGTTTTTTTAAAATGTAAACATGCATAAGTCTAAACTTTTATTTCTTGAATTTGGGAATTTATTATTACTGTTGTAGAATGACAGTAGTGTACAAATTGAGGAGAAATGTTTAGAATGAGAATGTTGACTTGGTTAACTGAACATTCAAATGGTGAACCTCCTGAACTCCTTGCATTTAAATTCAGAAATAAATAGAAATCAATGTAATAATACAAATCAATATAAATTAATTTTAGCTAGCCAAATCCTATTTTATTCTAGCTGATTTTGTACTTATATGTACTAGGTGTGATGAAGCCAGCAAAAACATAAAGGTTACGTAGACTCTCTTAATATTGCCAATTATGAGAAGACCTTCCCATGCAGACAGGATTTTCTCCATGAGAACTAGTAGTCTTGTTGATAGAGTTTCCCAATTATTCCTCGTGTGTTCTAAACACAGTCACAGATATGGGATGCTTGAAATTGATTTCTGCCCAGATCTCAGAGAATCCTAATTGCTAATTCTATTCATGACTGATGCACTAATTACTGCATTAAGAAATACTGCCTGTTTTTAAAACAATCTTGTATTTTTTTAAATATTCATATCAGAGGTGGGTTTCAGCAGGTTCTGACCAGTTCTGGAAAACCAGTAGCGTAAATTCTGAGTAGTTCGAAGAACGGGTAGTGGAAATTTTAAGTAGTTCGGAGAACCAGTAAATATTACCTCTGACTGGCCCCATTTCCATCTATTCTGTGCCTCCTGAGTCCCAGCTGATCAGGAGGAAATGGGGATTTTGCAGTAACCTTCCCCTGGAGTGGGGTAGGAATGGAGATTTTACAGTGTCCTTCCCCTGCCACACCCACCAAGCCATGCCAACCAAGCAATGCCACGCCTACCAAGCCACACCCACAGAACAGGTAGTAAAAAAAATTGAAACCCACCACTGATTCATATCTAGAATATTATCATGTATATTCTACAGATGAATGATACAATACACAGTGCAACAGAATGTTTGCTTTCTTTAATATGGAAGATATCCGTATATAAAAATCTTTATTTTCAATTGGATTTAAACATATTTTACACATCTTGCTTGGAATAAAAAAATCATGATGTCACCAGACTCTTCTTTTTCTTTCTTCCTCCTTCAAATCAGACCTAACTCCTGGGGAATATCTAAACAAATCTACGTAGTAATCTAGGCAACATCTTTGGAAATGGTGTGCGTGCTTTCTTTCTTTCTAGGGCTGAGGGAGAGTGACTGGGCCAAGGTCACCCTGCTTGATTCTGTGCCGAAGTCATGATAAGAACTACAGTTTCTCACTCTTGATCTAGCACCTTAATCACTACATCTCACTTGTTTTTAAATAAAATGTTTTAAAGAAGAAGGTGCATTTCCATCACTTGGAACAAGAAGCTTTCATTGACTCACCTGACACATTGTCAAATAATTCATGTAAATATAGGAGAATACACAGTAACTGTCACCAATAAACACTGATTATGATTTAAAACCCAGTGTACCACATTCTCAGTAGCAGGGCAGACTTGAAATAAAAGTGTAGAAAACCTATGAAGCATTTCTTAGAGGAGGAAAAAATGGATGATCTAGAAAAGAAATGAAATGCTGCTGTTTGTGCACAGCATTAACAGAGCTAGACAAGCCCATGCATCAATCAAGTTTCTCATTACAAAAGCATTTACATGTCACCAAGAAATACACCAGTTTTCTGTCCAATTTAATCTCCACTGACATGATGAGGATTTTATCAAATCTGTCCTGGGTAAAACTGTTCCATCACTACCAAATCACCTCAAATACAGGTAGTCCTCCACTTACGACCACAATTGAGCCCATTTTCTGTTGTTAAGTGAGTTTTGCTCCATTTTATGACATTTCTTGCCACAGCTGTTAAGTGAATTACTGCAGTTGATAAATTAGTAACCTGGTTATTAAGTGAATCTGGTTTCCCCATTGACTTTGCTTGTCAGAAAGTTGCAAAAGGGGATCACATGAGCTCGGGATGCTGCTTATGGCCGGGATGGTCATAAGTATGAACCAGTTGCCAAGCATCTGAATTTCGATCACATGATACTGGAGATGCTGCATAGGTTGTAACTGTGAAAAACGGTCATAAATTACTTTTTTCAATGCTGTTGTAACTTTGAATGGTCACTAAATGAATTTGTAAGTCAAGGACTACCTGTATCCGTTCTTGTTTTAGAAGGAGCTAATTCTGCTTTTGCCAAAACAAAAAAATTAAAAGTACATGTTGACAATAGATCACTTTCCTATATAATTACGGTCAGAGGTGGTATTCAGTAGGTTCCGACCAGTTCTGGAGAACCGGAAGCGGAAATTTTAAGTAGTTTGGAGAACCGGTAAATACCATCTCTGACTGGCCCCACCCCCATTTATTGTCTGCCTCCCTAGTCCTAGCTGATCGGGAGGAAATGGGGATTTTGAAGTAACCTTCCCCTGGAGTGGGAAGGGAATGGAGATTTTATAGTATCCTTCCCCTGCCACACCCACCAAGCCACACCAGGAGTAAAAAATTTTGAATCCCACCACTGATTACGGTAAACATCTATAAAGATGAATGTTGTCGTTTATGTTGTAGGAATTTATGGGGGAAAAATGCTCACATTGTTTTTCAGCCCATGTTGACTGAAAGAAAAAGAAAAAAGATTTCTTGAACACATTTAAAAGACCTGTCATCTATCCAAGGCATTTATACATAAAAATGTAAGCTGGCAACATGTTATTTCAATAGAATACTACAAGTGAATCCTTCTCCACTCTGATCTTGATGGTTTGTGTAGTAATGTTATATTTCTATAAATATTTCTGAAATATTGATATTTCTTTAATAAAATTGTGCATTTTGATGTCTATAATTATTCCTTCTCTGAAGCAATCACTACTGCACTATTTGGTGGGAGGTGTCTTCACAATCTTGAGAAGCGGTGTCCAACTTTGACAAATTTAAGACTTGTGGACTTCAACTCCCAGAATTGGCTGGCTGAGGAATTCTGGGAGTTGAAGTCCACATGACTTAAAGTTACCAAGGTTGGACACTCCTGCTGTAAAAAAAAACCTACTAAGAAGTACCTCTCACTGAACTCAGAGAGACTTAAGAAAGAAAACAAGCTGGAAATTTGCCATTAATACAACTCATTCAATGTGAGAAGTACACATAAGAAATAAGTGTTATGGCAAAATAGAATATTATCTTTTATATCTATTATCAAAGATGATAAAAAATTGTATAAATTGATGACTGGATCAGGGCTCTGTTCCAAAAAGATGTAATTTGTGTGTTGGGGGAAAAAAATTTTTTTGCAAAAAAAAAAAAAAAAAAAGTGAGAAGTACAAATAAAGCCATACTGAAGCCCAGCTTTTTTTTTTAATGCTCTCAACTGCCAGCTTCGTTCCATTCTCTTTATCCTTGTCTTTATTTATCCCCGGAGTTTCTCCAGCCACTCAGAAAAGTGTTCCCTCTAGCCACTTGGACTTACTGCTAAATACATTCAGAGCTCTCCTATTAAACCTGGCAAGAGACCAAAGAACAGCTATTAAGCCTGATGCCTTGCATTTAGCTGTCTTTGTTTTAACCAGTGTCTTGTCTGTGCAATGGGAGCATCAACCTTAGGATTTTAGAGGATTCTTTTATCAGAGGTTATGAAAAAAGAGGATGCTTCTGATAATGAATGTTTCCTGGAAATGAAATATTGCCAATAGCCTCTAAAACTGCTATAAACAGGAGCAAAAGAAAAGCTTTTTTTTTTTTAATAAAAAAGAATTAATCAATACCTCCTGTCTTATTTTAACAGTACTAGTCTTCTCATCAGTACACTCTTCTGGCAAGATAAATAAAAATAACACGTACTGAGATACTTTCCCTAAGAAATGGAAAACATGACAAAATACAAATTCCATAGTTTAAAGCAAACGTCCAATTTCATCTGTTTCCCTTCTGAAGAAAGGTATATAATGAAATGAAAACAGATGGTTTGTAACACCTTACAATTCAATCTGAATTCTCTAAACATATTTCTACCAAATGAAGAAGTTGGTATTGGAAGTGTGAAAAACAATTTTAAATTTTCCAGAAAGGTCATAAGTTTCTAAGTAGTATTGTCAATCTCTTCCAAAACATATTGCGAATAAAGTTATACCTCCTGTCCAAAGCTATAACAATAATAATATAAACAGAACTTTCATTTTCAGGCCAGTATACAGAAAGTCAGCAAAGTTTTACATGGTTTGTAATAAAGAACTTGCACTCTAAAATCATTTAGCATGGGGCAATTTCTTAAATGTTTCTTATATGTTTGCATGAAAAATTGTGCAGGCTGAATATGTGTACCACATTACATGCAAATATCATGCAACCGCTTACTTGGAAATTTGATCATGTACATATAATGGGCCTGAAAGTGTTGTTTTTGGGTAGAGCCACAACAAATTCAGATTCTCCCCTGACACATCTGTGTTTTGATCTAATTGTTGTCAGATGCAAATAACCAAGAACATTTGTTGTGTTCAAAGGACAGAAGGGTTTATTATTGCTACCACAATGATTTAGTCAATTAAAGTTCAAAGCTAAATGGGTGCTAGATAAGGGTCAACCAAATTCATCGGGTGGCTGAGCCTGGGTCTTTTGTGGCAACATAATGACTCCAAACTGATGACACATTTAACTCTGCCTTCCAGGTCAGCCTGCTCTTCTCCCACAGTTATGTATTCTCCCTGGCTAGGAATAAAA